TGTTGTGCCATTCATCCACGACCATCACCTCATGTTGCAGATGATAATGCACGGCCCCATGTTGCAAGGATCTGTACACAATTCCTGGAAGCTGAAAACATCCCAGTTCTTGCATGGCCAGCATACTCTCCGGACACGTCACCTATTGAGCATGTTTGGGATACTCTGGATTGGCGTATACGACGTGTGTTCCAGTTCCTGCCAATATCCAGCAACTTTGCACAGCCATTGAAGAGGAGTGGCTCTGCAATCAACAACCTGATCAACTCTATGCGAAGGAGATGTGTTGCACTACGTGAGGCAAATGGTGGTCACACCAGATACTGACTGGTTTTCGGACCCCCCCCAGACCCCCAATACAGTAAATGCACATTTTAGAGTGGCCTTTTATTGTGGCCAGCCTAAGGCACACCTGTGCAATAATCATGCTGTCTAATCAACATCTTGATATTCCACACCTGTGAGGTGGATGGATTATCTCGGCAAAGGAGAAGTGCTCACTAACACAGATTTAGACAGATTTGTGAACAATATTTGAGAGAAATAGGCCTTTTGTGTACATAGAAAAAGTCTTAGATCTTTGAGTTCAGCTCATGAAAAATGGGGGCAAAAACAAGTGTTGCGTTTATAATTTTGTTCAGTGTATATAAATATAAATATATATATATATATATCTACTAAAAGAAAACATTGCGATATAACGTAACGTTGTAGTAGAAAATTGTGGTGTATAATGCCTAATCATAAGCTTGTTCAGAAATCGTTGTCTTTCTCGTTTAACATCATTTAAATAAACGAATATTTGAATGAGCCCAAATATTCAAATACAAAATGCATGACTGTGCCCCATTGCACAAAGCAACGGAGTTTGGCGAGGAAGAATTTTACCGGCTTGCACAGAGCCTTGACCTCAGCCCCTTCGAATACCTTTGGGGTAAACTGGAACAGAGATTGTGAACCAGGCCTTCTTGTCTAACATCAGTGGCTGTCTAAGTATGTAGAATGCAATATCATTAAAGTCCCAGTTGGTGTAATGATCAGATGCCCCAATGCTTTTTGTCCATATAATCTATGTTTTAGGTCGCATAGACTCTTTGTTAAATAGGGATGCAGCCCTTCCTTTACACATTTTTTTTATATTATCCATGTGTTCCACAGAAGTCACACATGTAAGTAAATCATAACAAAATTTTCATTTTTGAGTGAACTTTCCCTGTACACTGTAGTATTTATGACAAAAGTATTATAAAAAAAAATCCTAAGTATAGTTGAAACCTGATATATTTATCTGCATAAGACATATAGCTACAACTATTTGAGCAGCTTTTAGTCTAACCCATTTACATTGTAAAGTTAAAGAAATGGCACCACCAGCCTAGTCTGTTCCAGTTACAATACAGGGACTCTGGGAACGTCAGATCTAAGCAGCATATGCCACCCAGCCAGCTGCAGACTGGCTCAGAAAAGCCCCTCTCCATTCTCTGATTTCATGTAACCATATTAAGCCTCATGTCAGAGGGCAAAAAATATTCTGTATTCCCAAAAATACCCTGCCAGAGAAAGCACTCTATTCAAAGTGACAGTACACATGTTTTACCTTCAGAACTATTAATTCAAATGAACACCTGAGACATGCCCTTTACCTAATACATTGTCCAACAATCCATCAGACCACTGTATTCCTATTTAAACACCTTTCTTTGATCACTCATCTACTGCTCCAGTGGAATGTGTTCACGTGAGAGAAGCTGAATTGAACCCTCACAGCAGTTTGGATAGGAATTGTACCTGCCTTTTCTGGCAAGCAACTCACATGGTGCACAAGATATCACAACTAGCCAGATAGCCATTCTGCCGAAGGGGAGGCAGCATTAGCAGAAGCTCCCGATATAACAGAATGACCTGGATCCTTTTTCAGCACAGAGAATGTGGGGGTAGAAACAGCCTCAGGCCTCCAGAGTCAAGCTTAAACTCCAAGGCTCCAATAGTGGTTCTGTGTCTTGACGGTATGGAGCCAAACACCTTGCTTCACCACTTTACAGCTAAATATTTATCAAAGTGTTATTTTGTTGAATAATCACATTTGCAAGTAACTGAAATATAACTGTGGCAAATATAACAGTACCAGCTACAGTACTGTTCAAAAGTTTGGCGTCTGTAAGAATTGTTAAATATTTTTTTGAAGAAACCTTATGCTCACCAAGGCTGCATTTATTTGATAAAAATACAGTCAAAAGAGCAATATTGTGAAATATTATTACAATATAAAAAAAACTGTTTTCTAATTTAAAATATTAAAATTTAATTTATTCCTGTAATGGCAACGCTCCATTTTCAGCAGACATTACTTCAGT